TAACCCCTGCTTCTGGTACGTAATTGACACTCAATAAATGCTTACTGAATTAGTGAATGAATGACTGAATAAATTCTTTTATTCATTCAGGAAATATTTATTAAGCCTCCTAAAGTACTATGTTAGGCACTAGTTACAAAGAGAGATATGACATGGTTCCCACCTTCAAAGAGTTTACAATCTAATGAAGAAGGAAGGATATACACATAATTAAGTAGGCTATGAGGTAGAATGTGAAAAATCCAGCCGAAAAATTCTAGAAGGAATTTTCAGGAAGTAAAGACCTATTTAAATAAGGGAAGCAGGGAGAAAATCGTGGAAGATTTCATGGAAGAAGTGGCCTCTGAGCTGGGTCTTGAAGGACAAGAAAGGATCAACAGAGACTGTGCATGAAGGACAGATGAAGAAAAAGTATGGGCTTTCCAGTTGAGTTAATTATGTAGAATCCCAGCTTCCCTCATAAATCTAGCAAATATCTGAAAAGATCCACAGAAAGATCAAAGGCAAAGAAGTCTGAAAACATACAATACTAAGTTCCTTGAAGACAGCCAGAAAAAATCGGTGACAGGTTGAGAATTTGAACTAAGGAAGACAACATGAGCACAGGTAAATGCAGAAGTGGCCAAGGCAAGAAGAAGGGATGCCCCGGTAACCTGGTCAGAAGCTAACAGAGGCAGAGAAATTAAGGGAACCAGATTGGCCTTCTGAAAATCAACCTGAAGCCAGCTCAGTGCAAAAAAAAATTGTCTGAAAAACAAAGAAGAAAAATAAAATTGAGAGCAAAATAACAAACAAATAACAAAATAAAGCTTAAAAAGCTTGAAATGACAAATAAGATGGTTTTAAAATAATTATTATAAAATAAACTATTGAGCTAACCTGATCACAAAAAAAAAAAAGAAAGAGGAAAACCAAATCACCAATATAAAAGTTAAAAAAAGAGCTCACAATAATTGCAGGGGAAATAAAGGAAATTAGAAATGATTTTGCCCAATTGTATGCCAGCACAAAATGATAACTTAAATGAAATGGATGAATAATTACAAAAATACAAATATCTAGATTATCAGAAAAAGAAATAGAGAACTTAGATAATCCAATCCCAAGAAGAAGAACTGAGCAATTCATCAATGGACTGCCAAAGAAAAAAATCCCAAGGCTAGATGGACTTATAAGAGAATTCTACCAAATAGTCAAAAAACAATCAACTCTAATTTTACATAAATTATTTCAATACTAGAGAAACATTTTATCCTACTAAATTCTTTTCATGAGACAAATATAGTCCTGATTACTTAAACTGAGATGGAAAATAAAGCTATCAAGCACTATCTCTAATGAATATCGATGCCAAAGAACTGAATAAAATCTTAACAAAGAAACTATAGCAACATATTAGAGAGATTATACACTGTAACCAGGTTGGATTTATACCAGAAATGCAGGGTTGTTTCAATATTTGGAAAACTATAAGGATCACATATTAGCACCCAAAAGAATAAAAATTGCATATTCAATCAGTCAGCAAATGTTTATTAAGCACCCACTATATGCCAAGCACTGGGCTAAGTGCAGGGAATACAAAAAGAGGCTACAGATAGTCCATATCTTCAAGGGGCTCACAATCTTATGGGGGAGATAACAGCGAACAAATTTGTCCAGATAATCCATATATAGGATAAATAGAAAATAAAGGTACTAGAATTAAGAAGTGTTGGGAAAGACTTCCTATGGAAGGTGAGATTTTAGTTGGGTCTCATATGAAGACAGGAAAGCTTATTATCAGTAGATGTAGACAATAAGATTTGACCCTCGTATGTTAAAAAAATATATAAAAAAGCATAAAAACATAAAAAATTAAAAAGCAACCACAGTAATAAAATTATTTCCTAAATATATGTCTTTCTGAAACCCAAATCAAGTATTATCTGTAATGGAGAAATACCAGAATTGTTTACAGTGCAATCAGGAGTAAACCAAGTAAGACCATTGTCACTACTATTGTTTGATACTGTTCTAAAAATACTAGTTATAGTGATAAGGCAAGAAAAAAGATGTTGAGGACATAGCCAGATAAACAAAATATTACTTTTTACAGTTAAATGGTTTACTTAGAAAACCCTAGATATTCAACACAAGTTATTTTAAGCAATTAACAACTTCACCTAAGTAGCAGGATCTAAAAGAAATGCACAGAAATTATCAGTAAGAGATGGAGTTTCTTGTTCAAGAAAAATCAGAAATTGATGTCATTGGATTTCAGTGTACAGACATTATAGAAAGAAGGCCATGGAGTTTAGAGGTGGGAGAAACTGTAAGGACACGTAGCCACTGATGAGATATGGTGGGATGAGTTGGTAGAAAGAGTCGAAGATAACTGAGGTTTTAAGCGTAGATGACTGGGCAATAGAGAAGTTGTGAGAGAAAAGCAGTTTGAGGATACAGATGAGATGAATGTGAGAGTTGTGCTGCAATGGACTTGAGACCTTTTTTTGTTTTTGTTCAGTCATTTTCAGTTATGTCTGACTCTTCTTGACTCCATTTGGAGTTTTCTTGGCAAAGATACTTAAGTGGTTTGCCATTTCTTTTTCTAGCTCATTTTACAGATGAGGACACTGAGGCAACCAGGGTGAAGTGACTTGCCCAGGGTCAAACAGCTAGTTAGTGTCTGGCTAGGTTTGAACTCAGATCTTCCTGACTCCAGATCTGGTACTTTATCCACTATACCACCTAGCTTCCTCGATTTGGACTTAGAAGACCTAAAAGTTAAATCCCTGCTGTGCCACTTTATGTGAGCTCACTTTTTGGCCCTCAGTCTCTTCTGCAAAATAGTGGCAATTTTATTGGTCTGGGTCTAGGTTGAAATAGATGCAGCCCCTTGCAGTTCAAAATGCTATGGTTCTATGATCTTTTCTTACTAATTGAAATGTCAGGAGTTCAAAAACAAATCTAAATTACTGATTTGATAACAACCTGCTCACATTTCATTTGAGCCTCCAAGAATTCATGTTCATTTCTCTGATACTTGTCCCCATTCCATCTATCTACCCACCCTGACTTTCCATCCTCCTCCCCTCTGTTCCTGTGGAGCCCCATCAATCAGTCAACAAATATTTATTAAAGTACTTTCTACATGCCAGGCATCATGTTTAACACAGGAAATACAAGACAGAAATGAAAAAAAATCTGCCATCAAATAATTTGAATTCTGACCAGAGGGACAACCTGTCCACATAGAGATATGTACAAGATTGACTGCAGAAATCCCCAAGATAATAGGGGCAGGAAGCAAGGCAAAAGCAGTTGGGGCAATCAGGAAAGGCTTCACATAGGAAGAGAGCATTTCTGCTGATTCTTGAGGGAAATGAGGGAGTCTAAGAGGCAGAGGTGAGAAGGGAGGGCGCTGCAGACAAATGGAGTCCCCTATGTGAGGAACAGCAGCAAGGAGAGTTAGACTGGACCATGGGGTACATGAAGGGGAGCAAAGCATCATTAGACTGGAAAAGAAGACTGGAGCCATGCTGTGGGCAACTCTCAATGCCCAACAAAGGAGTTTGTATTTGCACCCAGATACAATAGGGAGTCAATGGAGTTTTTAAGGAGTGAGGGGGAGAGCATAGTCAGATCTTCACTCTAGGAAAATCATTTTAGCATTTGTCCAAGGCTTGAGGCAGGGAGGCTGATTAGGAGATGATTACAATAGTCCAACCACACACCAGGCATATTTTTACCCCTATATCTTTATTGTTCTTTCTTCCCCAGTCCCCAGTCCCACCTCCCACCTTCTTACTACTTTCCCTTTATATGAATATTACCCATCCTTTTACGTCCAGCTCAGGTCTCAATTCATCCATAAATCTTCTTTCTCTGTTGATGACAATCCATATAGATCTCGCTCTGCTTTAGCTTCTTCTGGATTTATTATCTATCTTGTGTAAACAATGAAATATGAAATAAAGCTGAAAAGGTAGATGGTAGCCAGATTACCAAAAAAAAATTTTTAAGTACCAGAGTAAGGAGGTAAGACTTGGAAGACTTTTTTTTTTTCTTTAAATGGGTATGTTGGGGGGGGAGGGGTGTGACTTAAAATACCAATAGGGCAGTTGGGTGGATGGATTGGAAAGGAGAAAAGCTGAAAACCAGGAAACCAGTTAAGAGATTATTGTAATAGTCTAGAGATGTTGAGGACCTGAACTAGAATAGAAGGCATAAGATTTATGAGAAGGGGATGAATAAGAGAAATGATATAGAGGTGAAATCTCCAAGAGTTAGTGAATGATTGGAAGCTGGATTAGAGAGAAATAAAAGAGTCAAGGATAACTGCACTGAGGTTGCAAATCTGGGTGAATTGAAGGAATTTGGGTGTCCTTGACAAATAAGGACGTCTGGAGTCTATAGCAGAATATGTGCTGTTTCACACAAATCTATGCCATCCATGAGTATCCCGTACCAGCCAGAACAGCGATGATCAACACAGTTTACCTGATCGATTGTTCTGTATTTTGGCTTCATTAATTTCAGTAAATCCCAGTGTAATCTTTGAGTTTGTGGAATGCTTAGTCTACAGAAGGAAAGACTTGACGGGGAGAGGGGAAGAGAGAAGGAGCAGATTGCTCTCTTGACATGATTTAAAGGTCTGTCTTGTAGAAGAGGGTTAGATTTGTTTTGTTTGGCCCAGGAACAATAATCAGGAGCCTGGGGACCAAGTTGCAAAGACACCAATTTAGGCTTGATGTCTGGATTAAGTCCTATGCATTAGAGCTGCACCAAAGAATAAACTATTAAATGAGGAGCTTGCCACCTTGGAGGTGGTGGGTTTCCTCTCTTTGAAGGTCTGCAGCAAAGCCTGGGTGATCACATGTCAAGTATGGGATCTTAGGGGTGCCTTCTGAGCACGGATGGGACTAGAGGGGTGCCAAGGTTCCCTCCACCTCCCAAAGTCTGTGCTGCAACAAGTTGGTGACTTGCAGTGGGGCTAATTCATGTCCTCCCTTTGGTAGGTCTAAAAAATTCCAGTCTTTCATCGAGAGCTGCTTAGTAAAGAACCATAGTCAAAGACCCACCACAGAACAGCTCATGAAGCATCCATTTATAAGAGACCAACCTAACGAGCGACAGGTCCGAATTCAGCTCAAGGATCACATCGACAGGACAAAGAAGAAGCGAGGAGAGAAAGGTTAGTACTGGTTTTTATCTTGCATGGGAGCCAAGAGGTGGGAGAGGTGGCACCGTCCTGCTGCGCAGCAGCTGTGGAGACCAGGCACACTTTCAGTTGGCCCAATAAGGCCTCGTCCTGGTTTCTGTTCAGGAAGGGCTCAGGCCAACTGCTTTCTGAGGTCACTCCCAACTCAGAGATTCACGATTATTCAGCTGGGTATGTGACAGATCTATAGATTAGAGATTCCAAGGCATGTGTGCTGTGGAGATCATGGAAATGGGATCTGTTTTAAAAAAGGAGACCTGTGTTAAACAAAACAAAACAAAAAAAAAAAGCATCCTCTCCAGACACCAGACAAAGCCATGCTGAACCAGATCGTGAAAAGCATTTTAATGACAAGTGAAGAACTGGGTTTAAAGACATTTGCTTCCCAAATATATTTTCCTGTTTGGAAAACTGGAAGAAAAACTTTTGTTTTCCCTCAGTTGAAATGTTTTTATGTAAATCACACCTAGCATCAATATTAGCTGGTTCCAATTCTCACCTCTGATATACCCTTGCATTGGCACCCTGAGCAAGTCATCCACAGTCTCAAAGGAGGAGGAACAGCCAGTATCGAAACAGCCCTTTAAGGCATGCAAGGGACTTTAGATATGTTCATCCTCACAACAACCCTGGGAGATAGGCATTCTTGTTATTCCCATTTTATAGTTGAAGAAACTGAGGCAGAGAGTGGTTAAGTATTTGCCCAGGGTCACATAGCTAGTGAGTCTTTGAGACTGGATTAGAACTCCGTTTTTCCTGACTCCAAGTCCAAAATTTTCCACTAAAACAACTCCCTAAGATTATAATTTTCAGGAATGATGCCAGTTTTTATTAGTAGAGGATGTTCTCATCAGGAGTTCTTTATACCAATAAAATCACAGATCTAGCTTTTGAAAGAACAATATCCAGGATCTTCTTTTTGTAAACTCCAGTCTAAGGAGAAAACATGTTTCTTCTTCCTGCTAAAGAGGAAAATGTTTCATAATCTGTTAGGCATGGTGGTTTCCTTGGTCAGTTTTTGCTTAACTCTTTTCTTTGTTGGAAGATAAAGTTCAGTGTGAGGGAGGCATGTGGCTATCGGGAAGTGAACATTTTACAGAGAAGAAAACTGAATCTGAAAGAGCTTTTAAAAAAAGGTATCTATAAAACTAAAAAAACAAATCCTCTCTGAGATAGAGCATATGAAAACAGACCTCCCAGAGAGAAAATGTATTGCAGCATTGACTTTTCTTTATACATCTGAGTAATTACTGAAAACATTCTCTGTGCTCTCATGTCCCAGTTTGTGCCCCCAACCCTCCAACAGAGAAGAGAAAAGGTAACGTCATTTATTGTTTTCACTATGTTTCCAGCAAGATGAAAGCAGTTGTGTAGACTTTAGAGCCACCACCAGCCACCCTACGTGTTCACACGTAGCGACTGCTTTACATCTAGCACTTGCACATATGTTTCCTTTGTTCATCAGAACCAGTCATTTCTTTATTTTTTGTTTATTTATTTGTACCCATTTATATTTGAATTTATAATCTGCCCTCAACTTAAAAGTAATTCAAATGCATTTTAAAAGCCTTCAAAAATCCAAGCAATTATGATTTCTCCCCACCAGGGCAGATTATAACCCTTTAATTTTTTTCAAATTTTCTTTTTAAAGTATTTAATGTATTCAACATGTACCTCTCAAATAGCATGGGCTATTTCTCCCTATCAACATCTCCTGCATCTGCCCCTTCTTTCCTCTCCCCATGGCCACTCTATGAGTTCAGGACCTCCCCAGCCCTCATCAGCGTTCTTGCTGCCTTTTTCCTGCCTCAAGTCTCTTTCCTCTGCACCACTGCCAAAGCAAATCCCTTAAATGCAGATCTGACCACGTCAGAGTTCTCCAGTTAACTCTAGGAGCTCCCAGGGCTTCTAAGAGAAAATATACACTCTTCTGTTGGCTTTTAAAGCCCATTAAAATAGACAGCACATCTTTCCATCCTCTGTGTGCATTCCTCCCCTTCCCATGCTCCGTACTCCAGCCAAACTGGCCTTTGCACTGGCTCTGCCCCATGATTTCAATGCACTCCTTCCTAACTTCAGCACCACAGAATCTCTCTTTTCCTTTAAGATGCAACTCATGCAGAGCCTTCTACTCAGAACCTTCCCTGATACGTCCAACAGTTACTGTTCTCCCTACCTAAAAGCATATTGACTGCTCTACTGACTTCCTAACTACCTCCCCTCTAGTGCACACTTTTCCTGTGCTTGGGTTTCTGTGCATGCATTCTCTCTTAAGAGAAGGGAAGCTCCCTGGGGACAGGCGCTGTTTCACTTTTGTCTTTGTGTCTCCAGCATCTGCCATACAACTAGCCCATCAAGGGTGCTTAATCAATGCTTATTGATCAATTGATTGATTGATAAACCCATGAGGTGGGCAGCACAAGTATTACATCTTCATTTTGCAAAACAAGAACTTAGGGGCTCAGAGTGGTAAATGGATTTACCCATGAATACAAAATAGTGGAAATGGGGCCTGAGTCCACACCAATTGATCCAGAAGCAGTGACCAAGCTCCTCTAGGTACTAGGCACCGAAGATACAGAGGGAACATGAAACAGTCCCTGCCCTCAAGGAGCTTACATTCCAGGGGGGGAGACAAGTCTGATGTCCATACGGGGGTTCTTTTTTACTAAACTCTGGAATATCTTCTAAGCTCTCTTCTTCAGCTCTTAGATCTAGAGATAAAAAGGATCTTAGAGGTCATTTGATCCAGCAGGGGTGGGGAACTTGTGGCCTCCAGCCAGCCTCCAGTCAGCCTCCACCTGGATTCAGAGGGCTGCACTTGAAGACCTAAAGGGCCACATGTGGCCTCGAGGCCGCAGGTCCCCCACCCCTGGTCCAGCCTCTCTCATTTTACAGATGGAATCACCTGCAGGTGAATTCACTTGTCCAAGGTCTGATTAATATGCGGCTGAGATCACTTTTGATCTAGGCCCTATTATTACTATGTATGATGTAGGGTGGGGGAATGCCACAATGAATGAAATCTGGGCACTGAGCACTATCTGAAAGCTGCAGATAGAGTCATTAGGATACCGGGGAATAGGTTTCTGAAGAGTTTCATGATGACTTAAAGAGGCATCTGATCTTTCTTATGGCTAGGACCTCCCAGAGGCCCACTGCTAATATCCAAGTACCGACCAAAACAAGGTATAATGTCTGATACTTAAATCCCATCCACTTGAAGCCCTTTATGTGAAAGTGACTCAGTTTGTTTCCTTTAATCTTTGCTCATCCTACTTCCAGCCTCCTCGATGACAAATGCTTTGGGAGAGACTTGTAATTCTACCTTTCATTATGTTGCTTTATTTTTAAATGAAATTCTATTTTCTATGAGAAATATTGACATCTGCTCATTTTTCTCAGTAATACAAAAGAAATCATGGCAGATTCTGGCAAAGTATTAAAATTAGGTAGTCCAATAAATGAAGGTTTTCCCCTAGAGGTGGGAAGTAATTAGATTAATGTGATTCTTTCTTTTGCCATAATCTTCTTCATCAAATAAGTATTCCACATTCCTCCCTGAATTCTATGTTTGCTCACTTCACTTGAAGTTTTAATATGTAACCATGAAGTTGTACATTTAGCCAGATGCCTTTACAGGTAGGGAGACAAATGTGTACATCTTTTCCTTACACACACACACACACACACACACACACATCTTGCATTGGTCTTCCCGTACCACACTATTTGAAAATCCTCTGATGCATTTGTATGATCTTATCATTCTTTTTTTTGGGGGGGGGTGGCTAGGCAATGGGGCTAAGTGACTTACCCAGGGTCACACAGCTAGTAAGTGTTGTGTCTGAGGCTGGATTTGAATTCAGGTCCTCCTGAATCCAGGACTGGTACTCTATCCACTGTGCCACCTAGCTGCCCCTGAGTCTTATCATTCTTTAAGATTGTATGCTCCACAACAAAGAGGATAAACCTGTGAGTCAGGAAAACCTGGGTCCAAATGCTATCATTTACAAGCTGTGACACCTTAGTCCAGTGACCTGACCTTTTAGACTCAGATTTATGGCCTGTGAAATGGGGATAACTAACTTTGTAGTACATATACCTATGTGAGTACTAATCTGATGTTCAGATAAGTGTGTGTGTGTGTGTGTGTGTGGAGAGAGAAAGAGAGAATACTGTGAAGATTGGCTTTATTTACTGTACTATGCTACCTCTCATCAGTGTCTATCATCATCATTATCATCATCATTATTATTGAAAGAAGAAGTGATCCATATCTTATCTAAACTTTACCTCTCCTCCAGTTACTAGCATGGTGTTCTGTGCACAGTATCAATAAACATATACAAATTACCAAGTAGTATACTAGAAGCTGAGGATACAATGACAAGAAGGAAATGTCCTCAGGGCTTACTAAGGAGCTTCCATTTTATTAACAGAAAAAATGTGTATGCATATAAATGTACAGTACCTGTTTATAAAGAAAATCCTAGCTTGTTTTGGTGAGAGAAGGCGCAGGGACTTCACTCTAGCAAGTCCTTAGGAGATGGTATTTGATCTCAGCTTTTAAGGAAGCTCAGGATTCTAGGGGAGGGTGCATGCTGATGCAAAGGCTCAGACATGGTCAGTGAAATGCCCTGTATGATGGCCAATAGTAGGCATTTGATAAATGTGTGTTGATGAATAAATAAATGAATGAATCAATGATTGACCGACTGACTATAAGAAAAGTACAGGCAAAAAACAAACAATCGAAAACGACTACAGTATCATATTTTACAAAAAGTGACTAATGTGGAGTTGGAGGACCCAGGTTCAAGTCGCAGGTCTCTGTCACGCATAATGTATGTGACCTTGAGAAAGCTCCCTGGGCCTCACTTTCCTCATTTCTAAAATGAGGGGGTTGGATTAAGTGAGTTCTAAGGACACTTCTCGCTCTAAATTTGTGGATTTATAATCTATGACCCTATGAATTTAATGGTTCATTCATGGAGAATAAGCACTCCTAAATTTTTCAGCTTCTGTAATTTTTTTGTCTTTGCCTCTCTGATAGCTCTTTGGGTATTAATTGGTTAACTAGTCCTGGGACTTAAGCCAAGCAATTTTTTTTAAAATTTCAGTAAATGTCAGCTCCTCTCATGCAGCCCGTGTGATTCCCCAGCTCCTGGACACAGTGTGACCTTGGTCTCATGAGCAGCCTACTGTAGGTCTCTTGAAAACTGCAATTTCTAACCTTGAGCCGCTGTACAACAGTAGCAGCAGTGCCAGGGGTGGGGTCTGATGATATAAAATAGGAGGCTTTTAAAACATGCTTTGCATCAGCAACACTCTTGTTTATCCAGTACAATCGGTAGACAAACTGTAGGTCTGCAGAAATCATCATAAAATTCTTGTCTCAAACTGATTGTTCCACATGTGATGTTTACACCAAAACTGAAAACCAATTAATGCTTTGTCCTTTCATGGAAGAAAGACTCCTCGAGATGGGGAGTTGGAGAATCAGTGTGGTGCGGTAGCAAGAATGCTGTACCCAGATGCAGATAGCATGAAAAAAGAAAAAAAAGAAAAGAAATTTACATGATAACTCTACTATACACTTTAAAAATAGCAAGTTGCACATAAGAAATTTACGATTTCATATACAATCTGTTTTTATTATACTTTGTCATGGAAATGTTTGTTTTATTCCATGAATTAAAAATAAAATAAATAAATTTTTTTTAAAAGATGCTGTACCTGGAGCCAGGAAGACTTGGGGTTCAGACACTTTGAAAATATGTGACCATGGGGAAATCACAAAACATCTTTGAGCCTCAATTTCCTCATCTGTAAAAATGAGATAAAAACAATAACACCCACTTCAAAGGGTTGTTTTGAGGTTTAAATGAAATAATCCCTTTGAAGCACTTTGTGAAATTTAAAGTGCTATTTAAATATCTGTTTTTCAGTGTTTTTTGGAGGGGTGAGGGACCTGGACCTAGGCTTTCATTGTTTTTGGGAACTCCCAGTGAGGAGACTTCCCTCCCTCTCCTGAGTCAGGGAAGTGTACACTGCCTTTTATTAATAACACCCTATGTATGGTCTTAGAGACTTACTTGAAGCATAGAGAGGTTCCGTTACTTGCCCAGGATCACATAGTCCAAAGTAGGACGTGAACCCGGGTCATCCTGACTCTAAGACCAGCTCTCTTCAAGTCAGATATTAATAATTTAGTTATTTTTCTAGAGTGATTTTCCAGGATGGTTGGACCAAAACACAGTTCCACAAACACTGGCTGTCTCCTTTTACCTCTTCCAACAATGACTGTTTCTATCCTTTCTCATCTTTGACAATTCGATGGATATGAGTTGAAATCTTACAGATATTTTAATTTTCATTAGTCTTATTAGTGATTTGGCACCTTATTTTCCATGCAGGTGAGGTCACCATGCCTCAGTTGTTACCTTTCTCCCCAGCACAGTACTGGGAACATCTTGGTGTTTAATAACTTTTTGGTGAATTTAATCGAATCACTCCTGTATGAGGTTACTACAAAATGAAAGTAATTTCTGATATTTTTAATCCCTTTGGTATAAATAGCAGCTATAAGGAAAAAAAACACCTGGAGATAGTTCAAGAAGATGTTGCAGGGCATTGGTCCTGAGCCCTTGGTCCGATAAGTAGCCCAGTGGTTCACGTAGACAGTCCCAAAGAGTCTCTGTCTCAAGATACTGGTCTGAAAGCCAGAACACTTGGGATCGTGGCCTGCTCTATCCCCAACTATCTATGTGATGCTAGGCAAGTCACATCTCCCCTATGGGTCTCAATTTTATCCTTTGTGAAGTGGGCGGGAGGGAGATGGACTTTAAGCAGTCCCTCTGGTCCCTTCCAGCTCTCATGGTCTGTGAATTTATTTTTAGATGAGACTGAGTATGAATACAGTGGCAGTGAAGAAGAAGAGGAGGAAAATGACTCTGGAGAGCCCAGGTAAGAAAGACGAGACACAAAAATCCAAACCAACCCTTTCATTTTTCTCACACTTGTTTGGCCTTTTGGTGTTCCTTCCCTTTCTCTTCATCTATTTGCTTCAAGGCTCCTTGAGAAGGACCTTGTTTAGCTTATTATCCACTAGCATAATTAAGTGTTCTGGAGAATGTTTCCGGAGAAAGCCGTACAAAAGAGTCAGACTTCAAGTATCCGTCCCCCTCGGTGTACAGGGCCTAGTGGAGAGTTCTTTCACTTATACAAAGAACAGTGGAGAGCAAAGGCATTTATTAAGATAATCAGGGTCAAAAATCACTTCTGAAAACAGTACCCAGAGAGCCCAGGAAAAGGTGGGATTCTGGGACTTCTATTTAACTGTTTCAACCTCTCCAAGGCCTCAGTTTCCTCATCTGTTAAAAAAGGAGGGGGGAGGGGGAAGTTAGACTACGTAACCTCTTAGGGACCTCTCAGCTCTAAATCTGTGATCTTTTGATCCTTGCGTCAGAGCATTTGTACACAACTTAAATCTATTAAGACAAACACTTGAAGAACCTGTCTGCCTTTGACCACCCCATGATAGTACTCATAGAAACCTGTCAGTTTGGCATTTAAGGCCTTTACAAACCTGGTGCCAGCCAATATTCCTAAGTTTATGGCATGGTGCTGGCCTTCACCGACTGTGTTCTAGCCAGGGTGGTTGTGAAGGTCAAATGAGATAAGATTGTAAAACGCTTAGTACAGTGCCTGGTGTATTGTAAGCAAGTGCTACAGAAACGTTTGCTATTATTGTTAGCAAAGGGTCCTGCTTGCTGTGCTCCAGACAAGGCATCCCAGTGTCCAGTCCCTGTTCCTTTGCACAGATTGTCACCAGGGACTGGAAACCTCTTCTCCTTCACTTCTGCCACTTATAAATCCTTCACTTTGCTCTAGAATGAGCTCTTATGCCACCCCCTATTTGAAGTCTTTCTTGATACCCTGATTTGTTAGTTTAGTCATATCATCATCATCAATCATCCCTAGCATTTATATAATGCTTTGAGGTTTGCAAAGCTCTTTACAGATATCTCATTTCATCCTCACAACAATCTTGGAGTTAGGTACTATTGTTTTCTCCATTTTATAGATGAGGAAACTGAGGCAGACAGAGGCTAAGTGACTTGCTTAGGCTCACATAGCTAGTTAAGTATCTAAGGCTGGATTTGAAAGGTCTTCCTGACTCTAGCCCAGTGCTCTACCCACTGTGCTCCCTTAGCTCTATCTAAATGTGTACTTCTCTCTCTCTATCTCTCTCTGTCTCTCCTTCTCTCTTTCTCTCTCCATCTCTCTCTCTCTGTGTCTGTCTCTCTGTCTCTATCTCTCTGTCCCTGTCTCTCTGTGTCTCTCTCTGTCTCTCCTTCTCTCTCCATCTCTCTCTGTCTCTCTCTTTCTCTGTCTCTCTCTCTGACTCTCTGTCTCTCTGTCTCTATCTCTGTCTGTCTCTCTCTTTCTCTCTCTCTCTCTTATTTTCTCTCTCTCTCTATATATATGTTATATATATATGTATGTATATGTGTATATATATACACATATGTATATGTGTATATATACACATATGTATATGTGTATATATATGATATATATATATACGTATGTATATGTGTATATATTCTTTCCCCCCAAAGAAGGTGAGCTCTTTGAAAGTTTATTTTTCATTTTTTTCTTTGTATTCCCAGCACTAGCATAGTACCTGGTATATAGGAAGTCCTAAACAGAATCCTTTTTGCACCCCAACTGGTGTCTTCTCTAACAAGGAGATCATAACTTGAGGGCTGAAAGGTGACCTAAGAGGTCATAAAGTTACAAGGTCATAGCTTCAGAGCCAGAAAGGATCAATGCAGCCATCCAGTCCAGCCCTGGCCTAATGCGTTAAGCATCTTACCCTTTGTAAGAGCTGGGATTTGAACCCAGGGCCAGGGCTCTTTTTCTAGCATCACACTCCCTCATTGTTTATCCATGTGTTTTCTGCTGCCATGAATTTGATTCTGAGTTTTCCTCAATTCTGGACTTTTAAGCCAATAAGCCTGAGGTGACCACCTCCCTGTGATTCTTTTCTCATGAGAGGTAAACCAGCAATCATATAAACCCTTTGCCTGCCAAGAGATGGCCAGCTCAGCCATATTATCTTCCAAGGCCAAAGACCAAAGAATTCCTTCCTTACATCTGAGGCTTAAAATGTTGGCCACAACTCATTTGGCAGTATAAAGAGAATGGCTCCCAGGAAACCGTGTGGAAAATGAAGCCTTCCTCGGAGGTAGAATACCAAATGCTATCTCTCCAGTTGTAGCCTGTCAAATCCAACTGGCACATGCTATTTTCCAGTGGGTTATCCAACCAGAGAAGTGTCATGGACTTCACGGCCTTTCAGATGACTGACTGACTACCTATGCAAATTAGGCACTGTCTCAATGACACAAGGTGTCCCAAAAGTCTTTGTGCCATTTTAAGTTATTAAAGCTTAACCTGCATTAAGACTTTTAAGACACCCTGTATGTTTTTCAAACTTAGCTGTGCTCGTGCTGATCTGGTCCTTTCCCAGGGCTCTCCCCAGCTCACAAACTGATCCCTTCATATTATATAACCATGGCATGCTATCCTATCTTAATTAAGAATTTAGTTCATGTTCCTGTTTTTTACAGACTTTAATCTTATTGAATTCCTGAAGAGTAGAGAGGGACATTTTAGAAATTAGATAACAGCTTCAGAGTCATGATCAGGGCACCCTGAGTAGGTGATTTGGACTGAAAACTGCCTTTGGGTTCATGATCAATTGATATTTCTTAAGCATCATTAATTTTTCTATTGCATTATTAGTCTAGTGCCCTGTTTGCTGCTATAGCTCTCAAGAACCCAGAGTCACCAACATTCACCATGAACCAGCCATTAAAGGAGAACTTTTATTCAATAAGTGTTTTTTGAGTGCCAAAAGATTTCAAAGCACTCTCAGGAGGGGGATGGGGTATGAAAAAAAAAACCAAACACATTGCAGAGTCCTTCCCTCAGAGAGTTTCCAATCTTGTTGGGGCAATGAGACCTCTATGCCTTCTCAAAGGAAGGATGCTGCAGCGGAAATAATGTTCAATTTGGTGTCAGAAGGATTGATTTCCAATCCTATCTCTTATCCTTACTACCTCTCTGACCATGGCCAATTTACATTGCTATTCTCAGTTTCCATTTTCTTATCGATACAATGAGGAAGCTGGGCTAAATGGTGCTTTGGGGGTTTTAACTTTTGAATCCATGATCTGGGTAGCGTTAACTTAGAATTCATGGTCTTCAAGAGAACACTACATATACATGCTTATTTTCAAGTTTTGAGGGAAGGCTTGATGTTCTTAAGGGGAACAGATTGGCAATTCCATGTTCAGGGAATCTCATCATGAAGACATCATTATCCTAGAGTCCTATCAGAATATCCCTTCAATCAACAAGCATTTATTAAATACCTGTTATATGGCAGGCATTGTACTATGTACTAGGAGTACAAAGATAAAATTGAAGCAACTCTTGGCCTCAAAGGGCTGATATTTTATCAGTGCTAACTCTATATATATGTATGTGTGTATGTATGTGTATATTTATACATATATACACATGTATATATGTGTGTACATATATACACATGTGTATATATGTATGCATTTGTATAATATAATGTATATGGTATGATGTAAAATAGCAATACATGTGAATATATTCAAAATAAATGCAAGGTAATTTTTGGGGTAGCTAGAAGGTACAGTAGATAGAGCACCAGGCTTGGAGTCTGGAAGACTCCAAGTTCAAATCTAGCCTCAGACACTTACTAGCTGTGTGACCCTGGGCAAGTCATTTAACCTTGTTGCCTCTGTTTCCTCATCTATAAAGTGAGCTAGAGAAAGAAGTGGCAAACCGCTCCAGTATCTCTACCAAGAAAACTCCAAATGTTGTCATGAAGATTTGGACACGACTGAAACAAAAACCGTTTTGGGGGAAAAGACAGTAGTAGCAGGGAGAACTAGGAAAGACTTCTAGCAGGGAGTGACCTTCAGTTGAGCTTTGAATGAAACCAGGAACTCCCTGTGAAACAAGTACATTTCTGTCATCAAGAACATCTTTGTAAAGGGCTGGAAGAGAGAGTTGTTAGGAACAGTAAAAAAAAAGGCCAGCTGGACTAGACTATGGAGTTATGTAGGGCATTAATATCTAATAAGGAGGTAAGTTACAGCCAGGTTACAAACAGCTTTAAACATCAGAAAGATCTGCATTTGGTCCCAGAAGTAATAGGCAGTCACTGAGGTTTATTGAGCAGGAAAGTGACGTGATCAGATCGATACTTTTGGAAAATCACTCGGAGACTGATGGCTCATTCAATCAGAAGCTACCAAAAAGAAATGAACAGAGTCAAACTTAAAGGCTTGCTATAACTACATTCAATATGACATCTACCTAAGGTGTGTGACCTCTGGGCATGTAATGGCCTTACACAAAAGGTAAACTGAGTCTCCTTTCCAAGTCCCCTCCCCCCACAATTGTCTAGGAGTAGGAGATAAAAGTTCTACTCACAAGCCTCCTTGGAGACCCTGATCCAAATGTCACTCCATAGTTATCATCCATGGCCTCTCTGTGCTGATTACTAGATAGGATCTTAGAGCTGGGAGGGACTTCAAAGACAATTTAATCCAAACCCCTCATTTTACAGATGCTGCAACTGAGGCACGGAGAGGTTGAAGTGATTTGCCCATGAGCATACAGCTAGCTAGCATCAGAAGTGGGATTCAAACGCAAATTTGCAAAGCAAGTGTTCTTTTTATGGTACCAGTCTGGGACACACAAAGATGGACGGCCCAGTGTCTACCTACAGTCTGGGAGGGCTAATAAGACACACACACAAACAAGACTGATACAAGCTAGAGTATGACCATGCAGTGAGAGAGACCCAGAGAACTTTGTTAGTTGAGAGAACAGAGAGACCAGGGCACGCTTCA